CCAATAATAAATATATCTAAGAAAATCATGCATTGTCAAAATTATTTCATTACTTTTTTTTTATTCAAAAACTATTTAATTTGATTTTTTTTTTTAAATGACAAAATTAAACCTTATATTTTTCACAAAAAATACAAAAATATCAACACTTGCCATTTGATAAAAAGATTTTCAAATTGAAAACAAATTGAGAACACAACATAATATCTAAAATATTTTTCAATTGAAAATACAAACAGAATATCTAAACAAATTGAAAATACAAAGTTTTATAAATTATTAGAAATGCTTGCGGTTTGACAGTTTGGCAGTTTGGTTGCGGTTAAAGGAATCTTAAATTCGTCATCCGTCTAAAACTAGGCGGATTGAAAAAAATCAATCCACAACTGTCTGCTTGTCATCACGCATCTGTCCAAAATGTGGCGGATCGGTTCGATTCGGTCAGTTTGGGTGGATTGGAATATCCGTTGCTCACCCCTAATTGGGATGATATTAAAATTGAGTAATGCTAGAGGCCCCAAAAGTTCTACCAAAATTTTTACCAAATGTCTTACATGGGTATGGAACCTACACCATGTAGGTCTCACACCCACATAAAACATTTGGTAAAAATTTTGAGATCTCTAATATTTTTTATTAAAATTTGGGTGATAAAACTGGATCCCATATACTTCTTAAGACAAATTTTAATTATTTCTCCCTCATTGTTATATTGAATTATTTATTGGAGATATATAAACAAAAAAATGAGAAGTTGAAACAATAATTACAAACTTATATAAGTGATTTGTACATAAGATTGTGCAAATGAGTGTTGTACTATCATGAGTTTACATTTTTTTTTTTTTTTGGAATAATTACAAAAAGACGCTATGATTTGATCCTTGTAACAAAATAAATCATGAATTTTCAATTTTGTCAATTTAAACTCTAATCTTTTGATAGGTTTTAGTTATTAAACTTAATGTAGGTATACATGAAATGTCTTATATATCCATTTTGTTGAGTTTAATAATTAAAATATTATTTTTTTCATTGATTTTACTTAACAAAAATAGACAAATGATTTAGATTGAAAACAAACCAAATGTTTAGGGTTTAAATTGATAAAATTAAAAATTAAGAATTTATTTTGTTATAAGGGTCAAACTCCGGGGTTTTTTTTTTGTTGTTGTAATTTTTCAATTTTTTTTTACTTCTCATTTTTTTGTGTGGATGTTTTCCCTTATTTATTTCTTTTCATTATGAATTATTTTTTATGGTGATTATAATTTTCAAAATACACTACTTATTTCTCGAAGACAAATATAATGAAATTGTGTGGTTATGATTTTTAAATTAATTTAATTTTCATGAATAATTATATAGAATTTTGCAAAATGAGCAATTCAAATTATTAAAAAAAAAACCAATAATTAATTTCATAAACCCAACTCTTTTATGAACCAGAAAGAATCCTTTCCTTTAGGGTGGTCGTGGTTCGGTTTTGGTCGGTTTGTTGATCAGTTTGGATTCGTCCGCATGTATGCGGTTTGGAAAGAATTCAACTTGTAACCGCCCGTAGTGCGGGTTGTGGTTTTTGCGGATAGGATTCGCGAATGTACGGACGGTTGCGAGTGGTTTGCAGATTAGACTTTTTAAAAAAAAAATTATTTTGGAGTCTTTTTTTCCTATTTTGTAAATATTTATTTTGGGTCCTTTTCCCCCTCATTTTCTAAAATACTCCAACATTAATAATTAATGAATTAAAATTTATAAAATTAAAAATACAACAAAATCAATTATTAACATAAACAAATCATTCAAAATTCTAAATTTTTAAGTCAAATCACAAACTAACACAATCACATCTTTTAAAATCCTAAATTAGATCATCAATCTCATTCACTATGTACTACCCAACAATACTATTAAAGTAAAATCATTCAAAATCCTAAACTTACTTAAAAGTAATTTTTCATTAACTTTTACATTCATCCAAAATACAATAATAAAATAAACACGGTCGAGGTTTTAAAAATAAAAAAAATAAAAAATAAAAGTCTAAGTGTGGGCGGGTTCTTGTGGGTGCAGGTTAAACCCACAATCCGCAATCATGTCATATTCCAAACCTCATCCACCTGTATTGTGTTTGCGAAACCACCCATTTATATGTGGATCGATGCGAATTTGACAGATTACGCGGTTCGAATAACCTTATACCTAACCTTACTTTTCTTATTCAGAAACACCCAAACAATTTTTCTTTTTTTTTTCATAAAAACTTCAACATTGTTCTACAATAGATCCACCCACCTCTAATGAACTCCTACCATATTCCTCCTACCAAACAAATACAAAAATTAAAAAACAATATATACCTTTCTAAGTTTTCCATCAAACATACATATATGACTCATTAACATGAAGTCACTAACATATATTATGAGCACATTTTGCATGAGAAAGATATTCAATTGAATATAAGAAAGTAAATAATGATAAATTAGTTGATAGAGGCCGTTGATATCATTCCATCATAGGTCACCTTTAAGTTTCCACAATCGGATGGTGGGCCCAAAATCTATTCCTAGCCATCTTATTGGAATATATAAATAAAATAAGAGAAATGTTTGATTCACATTATTTTTTTTTTCCATAAACTTTTTGAATAACGTGGCAATAAAAGATAAATTAATAATTCATGTTCTTACACTTCTCTATTTTCTCAAAACTTTGAGTTATATTAAGAATTCCAAATAAATTATTAAATTTTTTAACAAATCCCTCACATGAGTATGAGACTCACATACATGTGATTTGTGTAGATTCCACACCTATGTGAGAGATTTAATAAAAAATTTGATAATTTATTTAGAGTTCATAACATTTTTTCAAAACTTTTTAGTCAATCTTGTCACGTTATTAAAGAGGATTTGTGGAGTAAAAATTATGTGAATGTAATAATACTGATAAAATAAATATATAATCATGTTATCATATACACTCTTTTTTTTAAGTATGTATTGTATGTAATTTTCTTTTATCAGCAACTTTTTTATTTTTATTGATAAGAGCAAAGATTTCCATATGCAAGTTATAATTATAATTAAATTATTTTTAGTTATAACTAAAAAAAATTAAGTCGTAATCAAATCATAAAAATATCACAATAAATCATAATTAAATATCACAAATGTCATAATTAAAGTATATGATACGTACCTCAATATAAATTGTATATTATAAAATTTCTCATATTATATATATATATATATATATGACACAATGTATATAGAGGGTGGGAGTGACAATGGAGTTGGTGGCGAGTCATTTGTGACCTAACAAACAAAGAAACAAGGTAACCATATATTTTCTTCCATGGGTTAATGACTGATATGTTCCATATATTATTATAAGAGATAAAACGTAGAATGCAATCACCAATAGCTAGCCTCCTCCTCAAGGAGGCATAACAACTGTGACAGCTCAACCCTCAGCCGACTTTTTAAAATCATATTTTGAAAAACAACAACTAGGTTTGTGATTTTGGACAACTCCCTTGCTTGATAACTTGACAACCCATTTTGTGAAATTACTTTCTTACCCCTTCTCAACTTGTTTTTCCCCTTTTAAAGATGAGATTTAGATATTGGTTGTAGCTCAAATAGTCATGATGGAGCACTTAGGTGTTAGAGATGTAAGATCTCAAATTCGAGTCAATACAAGTAGTGTCGACCTACTATAATAATATAATTTATTAATCTACTAATACGTTATTGTGTAACAAAACAAAGAAGGAAGGGGATTTAATTCTCTTTCACCACTGTAGAGGGTGTTGACGCATCCTATGTGGTATTGTGGACAAGAGAATGAGAGTGCAAGTTTTACTCTTGGTGTATAAGTGTGGAACACATGCTTATTATCAATACACACTGGGTTGGAATAGAGTCAGGGTATGATTTAAGGTTCCGTTTGTCTTGGGAGATAGAATGGAGAAGATTGATAGTGAAGGGATTAATAGTGAGAGGATTGTTAGTAAGGGGATTGATAGTGAGGGGATTAATAGTGAGAAATTGTTAAATTATTTTTATATAAAATAATAAAACAAATAAAAAAATATAAAAAAATAAACATTATATTTAAAAAAAATTCCCAATATATAAAAAATAAAAAAAATAAAAAAATTTATAATCCCCTCACTATTTTTCTAATACCATCTCTACCTCCTCCTTACCAATCTCCCTTCCTCCTCCTTATTAATACCAAGGGATTACTAGTCTCCTTCCTATCTCTCAAAACAAACACCCCATTCTCAATTCACTCCTCACTATCAAACCCAATCTCCTCCCCTTCCCATAACCCCAAACAAATGGGGCCTAAGTTACTTGAAGAAAAGCCTATAGATCTTTCATCATCTGCGGGCTCTCTTATTTAGCTTTCTAGTAGGTAGTGGATATTATAGTCAAGCAAAAATAATCGAAAATAGAATTGTAACGGGCTAATCATTCTCAACCATTTATTATTGGAAATTAATCTTGGAGTAGGAATTTTTATTATTTGAAATATTAAGTTGGAAAGGCTATAAAGAATGAATTGTTTAAAAGTTTGTTGATTTCCTTATATTGCCAACAATATATTTTTAAATTAATTAGATAAAATTACTTCTAAAAATGAAATGATGAGATGTCCAATATTAAAAATAAAAAATATAAAACTAGAAAACCCTTATGCTCTGAAGGGTAGTTATGAACTTTTACAAAGGAGGTGCTCCATTGATAAAACAGTACAAGAGAGTGCCCAAATCACAAGCTTTAATCAGCTTGTAATTCACTAATTAGTTGTGAAGCGCCAAAGCAACCAATCATTCTGATAACCCACAAGACTAATACTATCACCTAATCCAACCCACAACCCTTTGCCTGAGTTAGGTTAATGGTTTAACATTACCATCAAAATTAAATACAAATAGAATAAAAATAATAAAAACAAAAATTAAAATAAAAGCAAGCAAAATGTCAGGCCACAGATGCAGCTTTACCTGTGATCTCTTTTACCTGACCCCTCTCTCCTTCCTCTTCCCTCTTCCCTCTTCCCCTTCATAGTAATGATTCCATAGCTCTCTCTCTCTCTCTCTATTTTGCATGAACTCTGTTGTCAAGGACCCAAAACCAAACAAAACCAAAGCAATCAATAAGTTGTAAAGCTTCTCATATCATACCTGTTTTTAGCCTGCATACTAGCATCTTCTTTTTCTCTATATATGTAAAAATCTGCAATTTCACAGAACTGGTGCAGAAAGTCTTGTGTCTCAGATCCCAATATAACACTCTTCTCTCTCTCTCTCTCTCTCTCTCTCTCTCTCTCTCTTCTGCATACCTGATTCCCACAGTTAAGAAGCTCTTTTGTGGTCCTCAACATCAATCGAGGTCTACCCTTTTGTTTTCCTTCTTTAAATACCCTTCTCTTCTTCCACTACATACCCTTTATTTGATTCCTATTTCCATAAATAACACATACATACCCATAAACATTGTTTTAGAAATTAGAGCTTAGAAAATGCAAGAACAAGGTCTTGTCATGATGGGTTCTGGTGGCGGGGGTGGTGGTGGTGGCGGCAGTGGGATCGGTGGCTTAATGGATTTTTCCGGCGACCAGTACACCCAACTCAAGGCCGAGATCGCCACCCACCCTCTCTACGACCAGCTTCTCGCCGCCCACGTGGCGTGCCTCCGGGTCGCCACGCCGATCGATCAGTTGCCGCTTATCGACGCTCAGCTCTCTCAGTCTCAACACCTTCTAAGGTCTTATGCCTCGCAACACCACCACCATAACCCTCCTCTCTCTCCCCATGAGAGGCAAGAGCTTGATAACTTCTTGGTGGGTTTTTTTTTTTCGGTGTACCCATTTTGTTCTTTTATGTATTTGATTTGTTGTTTGTTTGTTGGTTCTTTTTTCAAGGTTTGGTATAGGTTTTAATTAATTGTATATATGGTGTTTATATATATGCACAGGCACAATATATGTTTGTCTTGTGTTCTTTCAAAGAACAGCTCCAGCAACATGTCAGAGTCCATGCTGTTGAAGCTGTCATGGCCTGCCGTGAAATTGAACAGAACTTGCAAGTCCTCACTGGTACCCTTCCCTCTCTCTCTCTCTCTCTCTCTCTCTCTCTCTCTCTCTCTCTCTATGAGTTATTATGATTGTTATTCTCTCTCTCTCTGTGTAGATACACACAAACATATAGATACTATTCTATAAAAAAAATTAAAAAAAACCCCAATTGTGTTTGAGTGGAAAAAAATTGAATGCACACTTAACCTTTAGCAGAATGTGTGATAATCCCAATACATGAACTCGTAATCTTAAAGTTATTAGGTAAGTCCCAACCATTGAATCTATGCCTTGGATATGAACCTTGTTCTTTTTTAAAGATGATATTATAATCAAAGGAAATATCTTCGGTCCTTTTGTTTTGGGCGGGCTGGATCAGATTCAGTTGCTTTGTATTATTTCTGATTGATTTGGTGTTTGTGCGTTGGGTATCCATCTACGAAGCACGGGTGTACGTGTGGATGTTGGTATGGATACAATAGAAGTATGGTAATATGATAAAATCTAAAAAAAAATAGGATAAACGTACTGACTCGTGAATACTTTTTTTTATTTTATTTTTATAATTTATTGTTTGAGATTCAATAGACAAATCAAAGTTTAATACCAAAACTAAAAGGAAAAATTACAAAACTAAAAGAGAAATCATAATTCAATAATATCAATACCAAAGCAGAGTCTATAAACTATTTTAATGTCATTAAATAGGAGAAATTACATAACAAAATTTTATTCCAAAATCAAACTAAGCAAAATTTTAAAACTTGAAGCTTTAGTATTCATTTCTATCAACTTCATCGTTGAATAATACATCTTTCATTTGCAATTTCAAGTAAATAAAAACTCTCTAATAAATTAAACGTATCTTTACCAATATCCTATAACTTGGTGTACCCATAAAGTATCCATGGAGGGTTGTTTTGTGAAGATGGTTAATAGTTGATTTTTTTTTTTTTTACTTTTTTTGAAAAAACGTGTAAAAAAATGTGAGAGACAATGTGACTCAAAATGGATTAAAAGTTGAGAAGTGGTTTTTAATTTACTTCCCAAAAGAGTCCGGAATACTCAACTGTCAAAAAATGTATAAAAAGTATCTTATACGTGTTTTGATATTCCTTACACATGCAACCATATTAGGTCTTGTTTGGGAATATGTTTTTTTACTAACCTTTAACTTTTTAGATAACATATGATTAAAAAAATTAGCATGTTTGAGATGATTTTTTAATTTTTTAAGAAAAGATTTGCAAAAAGTAAAAAGAAAATGAAATCTTCAATTTTTTAATATATGTTGTTGACTTTTTAATTTTTTAATAATTTTTTAACTTTTAAACTAAAAAGTAAAATTGTCAAGCAATCTCTTAATACAAATATTAATACTTAATAAATACTCAATATAAGCACGATAATATTTTTGATATACTTATGTTTCATAGATACCCATTGGTCACTAACGCTGTGTTTGGTTGGGGGATTTGGGAAGGGAAATGGAAAGGGAAATGGAAATGAAAGGAAAAGAAAAGGAGAAAGAATTAATAGAATTCCAAATCCCAACTATGTTTGGTTGTGTTGGTTATAAAATAGAATTGATGTCCTAAAAGGTATCCTATTTCTTTATTTATTTCTCACCCCCTTTCTTTTCCCATATATTTTTTATTATAACCAAACATAAATAAGATTACATTTCTCATTCCTTTTCTAAATCCAACCTCAAAAACTCCAACCAAACACAGCATAAGGGAAACTAGAGAAGCAATTTGGCGTTTGAAAAATGCTTGGGACCTCTAATTAGAGGTACCACTAGTGATGTGGTAGTGGGTCCCACCCACTGCCACATCAGTGCTGTGTCTTTGTTTTTGTTTTTTTTTTTTTTTTGGTCTTTTCCACCTCATTAGAGGTGTGTTTAGAGCCTCTAAATTAGAGGTCTCTAGCATTGTTGTTTGACGTTTTGGCAAGTTTGTGTTGCTGTACAAATGGTGGGTGCAGTGGGACCTATAAAAAAATTTAGTTTATCGTTAAGAGGAGGGAAGAGTTAGTTAGTTGGGTGATGTGGGGAACAAAAGAATGAGAATAATACCAAGTACCAACTATAACAACAAATGATGATGAAGATATGTATTGGAATATTTGGTTTTCTAGAACACTTCTATTTTGATTGATTGCATTTGAGTTTGTGAATGCATGATCTTTTTGTTTTGCTGGCTTTTGGGAGTTTCAAGTATTTTAGGGTTAAGTCAAACTGGAAAGTTTTAGAGACACATGTCATTATTAATGATTAATGTGACTACTTATCTCATAATTAGAAAGTATATGTAATTTTGGGTGACATGGTTATTATGAAAAAGTATGGGATTAGTGGCAAGGAAAATTAGTGAGAGCACTAATTAGTGCTACCACTAATGATGTGGCAGTGGACCCTACCATGAATGATTTGATGTTTTGGCCTTGGTGTTGTATTTTTTTCTTTTTTTATTGAGTGCCATGTTATTAGTGGTCTTTTTAGAGCTCCAAAATTAGTGGTCTCTATCATTGTTGTTAGTGGCAATATATACATGTGTGTGTTTCACCAATAATTAATGAGAAATTTTGTAATATACACCTCAAAAAAGATGTATACTATATATCTCAGTTATAATGTTTGTGATATTTAAGTATGACATATTAAATTATTAGTTATGACTTATTTATAATTTATTGAGGTATTGATTATAAAAAACAAAAAACAAAAAACAAAAAACAAAAAAAAATTAGTTATGGCTTCTCGTGATTTTTATTTTAATTATGATTGAAAATGTCTTTAGTTATACCTAAAGTGATGTTTGATTATATCTATTGGTTATGATTCATTGTGATATTTGTTACGCCTTAGTTATGACGCGAAAAGAAACTTTTTTGAATAAGAATTAAGGATAAATCCTTATATCATACATCAATAAATATAAAAACATTAGTTATGAGTTATTATGATTGTTATCATAATTATAATCAAAGAGTAGGGGTATGATTGCGAGTAGCAATAGTAGGGGTATTCTGTACTTTCCGAACCTCTCTCGATGCATTTCGTCTTTCTGTACCTTTAATTTCATATTTTTAATGAAATTTTTCTTTGCTGATTAAAAAAATATATATTTATAATCGAAGAGGTTTTTAATTATATTTCAAGTGATATTTGGTTATGATCCAATGTGTTCTTTTTCATTGTGATTGAAATTAATTTGGTTAAGACACTTTGTAGTATCAACAATACAAAATGTCATAACGTGCATATAGTATATATTTTTGAAGGGTGTGTATCCCAGACCTTAGTATAAAAGCATGATTAATGTGTTGTTGTAATCAGTGAAATAGAATTTAATAATGCCTACACTTACATTTTTTTCTAACCATATTTTTCTATAAAGTTTTCTTACAAAATGAGGTAGCGTGTGTGGCAGGAGTTTGCTAATGATCCTCGAATGAATGATCATTAGTCTTAATGTACATGTTTTAATGCATAAAAATATGTAAAATAATTATAAATGTGCAAAAAGTGCATTGAAGTTCTAATTATTTTGGCATTATCTAGCTAGCATGATCCTTCTTATAATTATAAATTATAGAGATGGGAAATTTGTTTTTGAGTGCAGTAATGTTAGGTATCATGAAAATAATCATGAAAATTTTGTGATTCTTGAATTACACTTAGAATAAAGCACTACACACTAATTAAGGTAATCTAACCTAACCAAACCAAACAAAACCAAACCAAGCTTTAAGTCCCATCAAATGTGGTCGGCTACATGAATCCTTCTTCTCCACGCGACCCTATCAAAGGCCATATTGTTAGTCAAATTAAGTAGATTCATATCTCTATTTATAACGCTGGTCAACATTAATCTAGGCCTACCCCGTCCCTTAACACTTCCATCTACCGTTACAACATCGCATCTCTTCACTACTGCCTCTGTTGGTCTCAGTTGAATATGACCAAACCATCTCAAACGATTCTCTCTCAACTTATCTTCTATCGGTGCTACTTTTACCCATTCTCGAATACACTCATTCCTAATCCTGTCTTGTCTGATCTTACCACACATCCACCTTAGCATCCTCATCTCAGCCACACTCATCTTATTTACATGTTGTTTCTTGGTTGCCCAACACTCCGTCCCATACAGCATAGCTGGTCTAATAGCCGTTCTATAAAACTTACATTTTAGTCTAGTGAGTATTCGTTTATCGCACAATACCCCAGACGCACTTCTCTACTTACACCATCCCGCCTTAATCCTATGGGCCACACTGCATCAATCTCTCCCGCTGTTGTGATAATCGACCCTAAATAACGAAAATGTTCACTCTTAGGCAGTTCTTGGTTCTCAATCTTCACTTCTCCTCTGCTTTCATTGTTACTGTTACTAATTTACACTCCATGTACTCTATCTTAGTTCTGCTTATTCGGAATCCTTTAGATTCAAGAGCTTTTCTCCAAATCTCCAACTTTGTGTTAACTCCTTCTCTAGTCTCATCCACCAACACTATCGTCTGCAAAAAGCATACACCATGGCACGTCATCCTGAATATTTATCGTCAACTCATCCATAACTAAAGCAAAAAGATAAGGACTTACGGTAGATCCTTGGTGTAACCTTACAGTGATAGGAAATTCATTTGTCTCTCCAGCTGGCGATCTAATAGTGGTCACCACCCCTTCATACATGTCCCTAATCACGTCAATGTAGCATTTTGTCACCCCTTTCTTCTCTAACACCCATCATATTATATCTCGCGGCACTCTGTCATATGCTTTCTCAAGGTCGATAAACACCATATGAATGTCTCTTTTCTTTTCTTTATACTTTTCTATTACTCTCCTCAAAAGATAGATCGCTTCCATTGTTGACCTGCCAGGCATAAACCCAAATTGATTCTCTGACACCTCTGTTATGTCTCGCAATCGGCGTTCCATCCCTAACTTTTCTCTTTTGAATGATAGGATCACTACATATCTCATCATTATGTACAAAAATTTTATTTTTCTAACACTTTTTCAAATTTATTGTGGTATAAAAACTATCTTAATTAGTAGCAGTATTGCCATAAAAACACAATTTGTGTGAGAGCTCGATATAGAATTAATCATCCTAAAATTCTTCTGAATATCAAACTATCTTTGATGCATTAACATTCAACATTAATCAATGTATAAAAATTATATATAATCCACTTTCTAGATCATGATATGTAAGTAAAATGATTAATTGATGATTTTAAAATATATGTGTGAGAGAGAGAATTACTTTGCATATTTTAATTGATTGTTATATCATTAAATTTGAAAAAAACAAAAAATTGGATTAAAATAGTAATGCCCAGCAATGTATTGCTCATATTAATTCCCATTAAAAACTTAGGTAGCGTTTGGTAGAGTTTTTTAAATATGATTTGAAAATAGGAATTGTATTTTGAGTTTGTGAGTTTTGAAATTATGATTTGACTGTAGAAAATTTGTTTGGTGAATAAGTTTTGAAAAGAGTTTTGAATTGAGTAGAAAATTTTTGATGTGACATGATATCTGGTATAAAAACTTACAACTCATAACCAAACACACAACTCAAAAACCTATTAAAAGCTCATAAAAAATTTTAAAAAATTCCAAAAATATTGTTTTATTAAAAATATATAAAAAAATAAGTGTCAATTGCAAAAAAATTATAATAATATTTTAGTTTTTAAATTATTTTAGTCAAATGTCAAATAAGTTAGGCTTATTTTGGTAATTGATTAAAATAATTAAAAATTCACTACAATAAATTTGACTCTTTTCTTCATTATTTGTACGTCTTTTCGTAAATTTTTTTAAAAAATAATTAAAATTATCAATTTATAAAGTAACACTAGTAACATTTTGGGAATTAATTTTCCAAAACTCAAACCAAACATCACACTAGAATGTAGAGGTAGAACTATGATTCCAAAACATTTCCAAACACAGTCTTAACTTTCCATGTGACATTTCCAATTGAGAGTTGTAAATAATGACTTGATTTAAGAGCATGGATTCCAGTAAGCAAGAATGGGGTTGTTCCATCTAGGACCAATGAAAAACGGATTATGGATTTGATGGACACTTTAATATGATAAATGAATTTATTTGAAAGGGTAAACAAGACTAGTATGTTATAACTTACCGGTGAGGGATTTGAGGGTAAGTTTTAAGGTTTCAAATTCGGGTCACTCTAAAGAGGATTAGAGATTTTCTTGTTCATTAGTTTCAAGATCCAGAGATTAGTTGAACTGTGTGCAAACTGGCTCGAACATTCAGTTATAAATATACTAATAATATAAAAAATAATGCCCAATCAATACACATGTTTGAGAGAGAAAAAATTGGATACACACTTAACGTTTGACATAGTACACAAAGTGGTTACTCCAAAATTTAAACTCATAACCTCAAAGTTATTAGGTCAAGATTTTATCACTGAACCAACGATCACCCCTACTTATACTAACAATATATATATATATATATATTTAAATTTTTGTTAATTTCAAGCTTATGAAAATTCAGCTAGTCCATGGATTACAAGCAAATGCTTTTGATATCAAAATATTCTATTAGAGAAGTATAACTGTTCTCATTGACTATTTGAATGTCCACAGGAGATGTCAATGAAAATTTCTTCAATTTCATGTAAAAATTGACATGAATATTGCTTCCATTCTTGTGCAATTCTAAAACAAACACCATGTACTATAAAGTGAAAATGTTGACCTGTATGGATTCCAACGTAGCCCAACCAGAATAGGAAAAGGTTGGGTTAAAAAAAAGGGCAAATTGCATATATCCCCTTGAGATTTAGATAAATTACAGATACTTCCTGAGATTTGAGAAATTACAGATTCCCTCCTGAGATTTATATTTTCATAACAAATTGCTCCCTAATTTGTTATGCAAATATAACCTTCAGGGGAGAATCTATAATTTTTCAAACCTCAGGGGTATCTATAATTTAGTTAAACCTGGAGGGAGTTATATGTAATTTGCCCTAAAAAAAAAAGAAAGATACTTTTGTTGTAAATATGCATGCTAGTTCACAATCACCCTTCCCAATAATCTTTTTATATAGAGCAGTGCTATTTAAGATAAAAAAATTATATTTAATTTTCAAATTTAATGTTGTAATAATTAATTAGAATATCTAAGACAGTACTTTCTCTCATATTTTTCTTAATTATCAACCAATCATTTCACTTACATATTATTAAGTCTAGAAAGTGAATTTGTATTTTTTAGATGGCTATTTTCCTTGTATATATTCAACTATAGATACATGTGTGGGAATGATTAGGTGCAGCGAACCACACCATTATCCCAACTATTTATTATTTGAATAAAAAAATAAAAAGAAAATATGTGAGGTTAGAAGTGTAATTTTCTTTTTCTTATTAAAGGTGTTATATTGAATTTTAATTTTAATTCATTAAGGGGTAATGTGTAACAATTTTTAGTTGAAGAGTAAAGTGATGTCAAACTATAATTGAAAAGGATAAAATATAATTTTCTCAAAAAAGAAATACTTTTGTCATAAATATGTATGCTGGTTCACAAGCACTAATACTTTAACCTTAGTATAGCATATATTGAAACAAGTACAAGTGACAGAAGCCAAATATAAAATAGAACATATATGTCTCTCAAAGGGTAGAACTCACTTGTGTGCTAATTTTGAAAATTATAGATATATGTACACTTGTATTAAATGGCTATCAACCTACTATATTTTCAAAAGTATAGATGCATGGACCTGCAAGCCAGTATTTTATCTTTGTGAGTGATAAAGCACTGAAATTCTAAGGTTTCTGAGCATGGACTTAATTCTTTCAAGCCATGGACTCCATGGTCCTACACACGGAGCTTTTGATAGATATTCCTTGAATCCAGTTGCTGTTATTTCCTGATCCATGGTTCATTGTTAAAATCTTGATTTCTTGTACAATGAATAAACCTTCTATCTTTCTTCATCTTTATGTTTATGATAATATAATATCTTTATCCTTATTGATCATGGGGGGATTATGGACCATTTGTCCTGATACCATCCAATAATCCAACCAAAGGAAAAAAGATCATTGTGTCCATTGGTGTTACCATATATCAGCTGCTATAATTTCTACGCATATTTAGAGCTCATATTAAATGCTAAATTCACAACTAGTTAGTAGAGATGGAGCGTTACACAATGTTGGAAGACCATTGTCAAAACTCAATGATCAAATGATCCAGAAGAATGTTGGCCATCTGATATAAATTTGTTTGTCATATCAGGTTCCAATAAAACCAAATGATACAAAATCCAGTTATCTTCATGTTTACTATGTGAATGCACACGAAACAGCAGTTCTTTTCTAAACCTGCTTAACACACCCATAAAAGTGCCAAGATTCAAGATTCCTGCTTTTAAAATCTTGGAAATCTTGCATTTGGAGTGGTTTAGGATAGTCCACTTTACAAGGGATTGCCTTGCACTTTACAAGATTTCTACTAAAAAATTTTCTGACAGTCAAATTTGTTTGAAAATAACTTATGTGCTATGTCAACAAAATTATACCCAAGTTTGCATTTTGTGATTTAGAACTTGAAATTTCAAAATTTATATACGTCTATAAATATATAGATTTTGATGAGTTTGATATATATATATGTAGAATGCATTTGAGTGATGTAATGTAACACAGAGTGCATATCCCTCTAGTTCTAATGCACTGTAAATGTTATGATGCTTAGTGAGGCTTTCCCTAAACTATATATTTATTTTTTCAGGAATTACTCTGGGCGAAGGAACGGGTGCAACAATGTCAGATGATGAGGATGAGCTCCAAATGGATTTCTCGCTAGATCAAACAGTTGCTGAGGGACATGACATGATGATGGGGTTCGGTCCACTGCTTCCAACAGAATCTGAAAGGTCTCTAATGGAGAGAGTTCGACAAGAACTCAAGATTGAGCTCAAGCAGGTGATCTTCTTCAAATTTTGTAAATCCCAGATAGTAGTTTTGTTTAGCATGAAGAAATTGAGCTTAAAGAGGTGATCCTCTGCAACTGCTGTAAATCTCAGTTATTAATTTTGTTTAGTATGAAGACACAGAAACTCTGCAATGAGTATGTTAGAAAATTTTCGCCAAAAATATCAGAAATAATTGTGTTAACAGTTTAGGAAGTACTTCCAAGTTTTTACTAGCAAAAACAAAGAAATTTCAGCTTTCTCAAGCAAAAAGAACTATCTAAAGAAGCTAAATGGGTGATGCCTAAAGATCCTAAGGGATCATTTTCTCATTATATTGCAGGGATTCAGGTCCAGGATTGAAGATGTCAGAGAGGAAATATTAAGAAAAAGAAGGGCTGGGAAATTACCAGGTGACACCACTTCAGTGCTCAAAAATTGGTGGCAGCAACATGCTAAATGGCCCTACCCAACTGTGAGTAACCAACTTGACCAATTATCACACTTAGCAATTGTTTCAAGCTAAGTTTCACCATAGCATTTGGGTCCTAAACTCCATCTCAAAGTAGAAAGGATATCCCAAAATTTTGCTATCATTTAGAATTTCACTGAAATACCAGAAAGTATATCAATGACATGGTATCCATCAAAGATTAAATTTTAAAATATAGAGTACTGAGCTAGGACTTTCAATCAATGAGCTTTCTCTTCTGCAAGTTAGAGCATGAATGTTGGAAAGGAAAATGCTAGAAGTCCCAAATTTTTTACCAAATAAATGACCAAATGTCTCACATGGGTTTAGTGTCCCTAGCATTACCCACATTGGAAATTCATCTGAGGTTATTTTGACTGTAGTAGTCTTTGTCTGAAGTTAGCACCGGGCTTGAATTGAACTGTTGAGTTTTAATTCTTGTATTTTGATTTGTACGAATTTCGTCATGATTCATTTGACACATCAAATTTAAATGCTGCAATGTTGATCAAACCGTAACTCGTCCAAGCCCAAGTCAGTGCACCACTTTGAGGGTTGATTTTATGGGCAAGAGTTCAACGACAAGCATATTATTTTTGTGACACTTGCAGGAAGATGACAAAGCGAAACTCGTGGAGGAGACAGGCTTGCAGCTAAAGCAAATCAACAACTGGTTCATCAACCAAAGGAAGCGCAACTGGCATAGCAACTCACAGTCCGCAACAGCCCTCAAGTCCAAGCGTAAAAGGTAGACAATTTATCTTCATTGTTTCAACTGAACAATGACCTGAGAGCACACAGACAATATGTCTATATATAACTCTATAAAGCTATTATATATAACCTCCAAGGCAGACATCTAAGCAACACATTGTCAGAACAGCGGGAAAATTGGTAGTTAGATATGGTGCAAAAAACAGGTACAGAATGTAATATATGGTGTTAGAATGACATACTTGTGAACTTGTAGATTTCTATATTGACATGAGTGAAAACTGACATATCTCTTTATACCACTGGAATGCCTATGTGTCTGTTTCTTTTTGAGAAACACTCTGTAATTGATCTATTCCAGTAACAGCAAGTAAATTACTTGCAGATTATTTTACACTCAAAATGTAAATTTTGAATTTGGATTCTCATAACATGTTTTTGTGAATGGGAAGTGCTTTTGCCTTATGGAAGGAGGATTATAGTAGCCAAACTGCGAACTACATTGAGTGTTTATTTTTATTTTTTTGCCATTGTGATTTTAATTTGTATACAATTAGTTATGTAAAAAATTAGAAAGAAAAAAAAGGAACAAATTACACTGGGAGTCCCTATATTTGACTTTTATGTTGTTTTGATTTTTGTAATTTTAATTGACTCGACTTTAATATTAAATTTATGATTTTGTCTCAATTTAATCCAATTGATTATAATTTTTAGTATTTTTTGATAAAAAATGACTGTATTAGTGGCATGTGTCATGTTTTTATAGACAAGATTGTAAACTTATTTAACTTAGTAAGATCATTTTTAAAAAAGAAATCCTAATCGACATTATCAATTGGATTGAATTGACGCAAAATTTAAAATGAAAGATCAAAATTGATCTAATTGAAATAATATGAACCAAAATGACAAGAGGTACAAAATGCATGAACCATCAATATAATTTGCCAAAAAAAAAAAAAGAAAAAAAAAATGAAGTAAAGATTGAAGTAGACCAAAAAAACAATATCAACTTGAAAAATTATACAGTGTGCAATGTAAATTCATAAAATTACGTAAATTTTTTAATTTAAAATTTTACGTATTTCTATAAAATTACTTATTTAAATTTATGTTAAAATTATATGAAGTATCTATTGCATAGCATAGCATTTCTCTATCAATCCTTCTCCCGGCATTGTGAAATAAGAAGCAAAAGCTAGTTAAAGTAGTTGGTCCCAATTGTCACACTCCAACCCCACCTATGTAAAGTAGGGATATAATTGGTGGGAGGTTCTAAATTGGGTAGTTTAATATTTTTTAATAATCAAATTTTCGGGTCAATTTATGTACATTTTGACTCATTTCAGAGTCAATCTCGTTGCCTACTTGCAAGTAGGGCTATAAATGAACCGAATTGTTCATGAACAAACTTGGCTCGGCTTGTTAAGAGCTCAGCTCGGTTCGGTTCGTTTAGTAAACAAGCCGAACTCGAACTCGAATATTAGACTCATTTAGTAAACGAGCCGAATTCGAGCTCGCATAAGTTCGACTCATTTATCTTTATTTAGATCATATAATAAATATATTATTTATATATTAAATAATATATAATTATATATAAATAAGAGTATAAATACACACTACAAGAAATTGCATTTTTCGCAACGCAACAAAATATGTTGCTAAAAGGAAAAATTCGTCGGCAAAGAGTTTTTGCCGACACACAAAGCTACGTTGGCAACCCATAGGCAAAAGTGTGTCAGCAAAAGTTTTTGCCGGCGAAATTATCATTGCGTTGGTAAAAGTAATGCCTTTAACGACGAACATAGTCGTCGATAAAAGCCTTCATCCATCGTCGGCAATTTACCTTGCGTTGGTAAAAGTCATTCAAATATGATGATTGTGTGGCACTTTTCGCGACACAAATTTGCATGGACAAAAAATATACTTTTAGCAACAAAATATGCGTCGACAAAAATAAACTTTTGGCGACACATTTACGTTGGTAAATGTTGTCATTTGCCTACGATTTGTTTGTCGATAAAACTTCACTTTTGGCAACGACAAATTAGCATTGGCAAAAAATACACTTTTAGCAACACAATATGAGTAGGCAAAAGTAAACTTTTGGCAACACATTTACGTCGGCAAATATTGCCATTTGCCAACTATTTGTTTGTCGATAAAGGATTACTTTTGGCAACGACAAATTGACATTGGCAAAAAATATACTTCTAACAACACAATATGAATGGGCAAAAATAAACTTTTGGCGACACATTTACTAACGAAAATAATTTAAAATAATTTATATATTTTTATAAGATTTACAGATTTACAAGAGACATCCCTCAGGCACCACTATTACAAACTAATAACATTGATATGAAATTAGCAAAAGTTGATGTGCAAGCAAAAAAAACACTACTGATACTGCTTTTAGAAGCAATGTATAAAACCTAAAAGGGTAAAGTCACTAAAATACCTAAATACATCCAAATTGTGAACCCACATTAAAAACAACAGATAACCAAATGAAAACATGAAACTAACAAAGACAGGCAAAACAACATGAAAATCACCCACAAACTTATCCAGCAGACCAACATCTAGTAGCAGCTGCCTCACAGCAACATTGCAGCAGTAGCAGCCCAACAAGCATCAGCCACGAGGGCGGCAACAACAGCAAACCAGCAGCAGCAGATGCAACAAACCAACAAGCAACAGCCATTAACCACCAGCAAAAAGAAGGATCTGGTAGCAATTTGAATTGATCAATGACAAGTTTAAAACAAAGTCCATTAGCTTTTTATTGATCTGGTAGCAATTTGTGTATGCGTTTGTGTGTGTGTGTGTGAATGTTAATAGATATGCAAGCGCAAGTACTGGCCAAAACATAAAGCTTTTACCATCATCCGGTAAAAAATAAAATAAAATAAAATAAAATCCTTCGATTTCTAACTATACTAAAACAATCAGTAGCAGTAGATCCAATGCATTATACACTCAGTGAAAAAAAATGTTGTCCAAGTTACAAATCATTCACTTGCAACAATGGCAATAATTTACACAAGGCAAACTAATTTCAGATTCTCTACTAATATTCAGATAAGGTCCATTTCAATGATTTCTGATATGGAAGGCATATGCATTATCTCTGCAATATGTACAGAGGTTTCAAATTCTCTGTAGTCAGACAACAATATGATGATATTACAATACAAAACTCCTAATCATTATCAAGTTCACATTATTCAATAATTTGGCAACAAGAAGAAAACAAATAAAATGGTCATTTCTGACATCAGATCGTGGTGGTCATTGCTGACAAAGGCAACAGTATGAATAAGGGTCATTGTGACATATTTGTTTCCAACAAAAATGGACATGATGTTCGGTGGGATTCGAGTAGGCAAAGATGATGTCAATACTACTGCAATCCTGGTGATGATCATGGTGAAGATGGTAGTCCCCCAGTGATTATTGCCTCTGATTGCCGGCACCAATACGAGTTGGTTACAAATTTATTTTGGATTGACAACGACAGCAATGAAATTGTTGCATTGACATCATTTTTTACCATTTCTTCTTTCTTATTCATTGAATTTACCCCTCATTTCAGTTTTCCCCTTTTCCTTGTGAGATTCTAGTAAAATGAAATGTGCATGGTTAATGCAATACTTTTCAAAAAAACTGTATGATGGAAAGCAGAAAAGAAGAAGATGACAACAAAAACGTTTTCAATATGAGAAAACTAGGATTTCAAGAAATTGAAGGTTCTGAAATGGTCCCTTCTAATGCATTCACTTACTCGAAAAGCCCAATAAGAGACCAAAAGAAATCAGAGAGACATAAAAAGAGAGAAATAGTATAAGCATTACTATAGTAGGCTTAAAATGACACGATTCAAGTGTAGAAAACAAACCACATCAATCTATTGTAAACTACATACTTCTTAAACAAATCCTAGCAAACTGGGCACTTACAAAAACCTAAGGAAAAAGGAATCAATTTCCTCTATTGTGCCAAATTCAATGTATTCAAAGAAAAACAATAATAGATAAACTGTCACTCCCGCACCTCCAAGAAAAATAATTAAAAAAGAAAAAGCAATAATTATTTTACAGAAGATATTTGAGAAGAAAGCTTTACAGCTGTCAAACCATAAGCACCTATTTCTGGAACGGGGAAGGAAAGGAGTTTGGGGTGGATCAGCTATGCTAAATAAGAATGGTAAGTTTAATAAAAACATTTAAATGAAATTCTACCAACAGACGCCAAGGGAGTCAAGGTTCGTAAAGTTCTATTACTCATTATGAAATACGAATCAATTCAATTCATATTCTTCACCAGCAAAAACATTGTCACCAATAAAATTAAGGTTAAAAAAACTACAAAATATTAGAGGACTTGCAGAATGAGAGGGGAAAAAAAAGATTTTCTTATTTACCTACAACACGAGAAAAAGTAACTATACAATAACCAAAGAAAAGAAAGAGAAGGGGGGAAAAGTCTAGGCATCGCACCATAAATTGTGGGGGGAAAAAAAAAGCACAAAATGTTGGAATTGCAAGCTAATTCAATTAGTAAATCTTAACCATCAACTATTATTTAAAAACTTAAAAGACTCTTTCAATTAAAACCCATATTAACCAATAAACTTTTCCTTTCTTCCTCCCCACCCTTAAATAAGTAAAGGCACACACCCACACCCCAAACAGAACATAAACCGTACACACCTCCCTTTTGAGATGGCAAGAGACATACTCAAGATAATAGCTTGTGGTCACGAACAAAAGATGCATTATGACAATTTGACACAAATCATGACCCATGGGCAACTACTACTCCTGAATCCTAAAATATTAAAAGCATATATACACAACTGAACAGAAGCTTATTAAATTAAGAAAGAAAATAAAATATGACTTAGGGTGACTCAAAGTTAATAACGCAAAGTCATCAATGGGCACAGCTTTTAATGCAAACAATTTCCAATATCCCCTCTTCTTCAGATTTGTTCTTCAATATGTTATTATGAACTGCATGAAAAACATGGCTTGTCCAACACTAAACATGGGGTTCTTGCATGGATGGGCTCTACACAAATAAATTGGAATAACATTCAAGATTCAGTTTAATAGGAAACTATAATAGTAGACATTACCTTGAGCTGATTTGTAGACAAAAAAGCACGAATTCCATGTAACGGTGCTCCAATTGGAAACCTAAAATCCAGTTCTGCAGCAGGAAACTAAGTCATATATGCAACACCAAAACCAATGATTAATGTAATTAATATACCACACAAGTATGGCTATGGCCAAAACAAAAGGTTTCAAGTCAGTCTTTCAAGCAAGAATTACATCATACCACCAATTTCGCCCCCTTTGTTTACAAAAGTATGAGTATGATCCTTCACAAGCAGATTTTTATCAGCACCAACCTAGGTCAAAGTAGAGATCCAAGAAAAACAATCAGAGACCATTGTCTTGAGAAGATTATGCGGGCGGCAACTTCGCCTTGGCCGCCCGCCGGACCTCAACCTAGTCCACTAGCATTTTCTACACATACCTTCACTCTTCTTCACCACCTCACCGATGCAAACCCAAAATCTCTTTACCCATCCGTATTGTCACGATCGGAACTCTCACTGGAGCCCAGTGGGGAATCTTCGCTAATGGTATGTACTATTGCTCCATTTGGCTTACAATCTTTGGACATAGAGATTTCCTTCGCTGCCGGTTCTTCAGACCCCTCAGGACAAGCCTGTCTATCACATGTGGCATCAGAACTGTGACTTTCCTCCAAAACACAACCCATGGAGTGCTGATGCAGACTATCATGTGTTTCCTGCACAACAAGTCTGGTGTCATCCAAAATCTTTTCCATGTTAGGCTCCTTAGACATACACTCAAACAATGTAGAGATTCTTGATCGAAGCTTTGTCAAGGATAGTGAATCAGCATCAGATTGTGGATCCATTACAGACAATTCCAGATTAGAAGGCACCTGCTTTGCCAACGAATCCAACTCAGGCTGTTCTTTAGAGTGGAAATCTGAATCAGGAAGTCATCCATAAGCTGCAGGTGATTGTACTTTCAGCCTTGTTAGGCTTCTCAACATTCTTATCCTTCTTGAAATGGGACAGCTCAGAGATCAATGCTGTAGCCCAAGCAATTGCAGTAATGTCACCCAACACAGCTCTCTCTCTCTCTCATCTTTCCACTTTCAAACCCACAATCCTTTTTTTTAATCAACCCACTCCCTCACTTTCTTTAAACCCCTCTTTCCCTCACATGGGCTTGTCCCCTCTCTCTCCTCCGTTTGATTTCAAAATCCATTATTTTTATTTATTTTCTCCAAACCACTTTCCTTATTTCCCCCATCTTTCATTTTGATTTCAAATATATTTTTATTATTTCTTTCTTTATTTTTCTTTCACATTATTTTTAATCTTTTTCAAATTCCATTCATACCATATAGCTTTGCACACCAAACCATATTTTATTCATCTCGGGATCAACCCCGATCCCCATTTTACCCCACAAAAAAAAAAAAAAAACCCAAACAACCACATCCCCGGTTCTTTGGAGTTAGGCCAGCACGCACAACAATGTCTGAAGTTGCCATGCATTCAAGACACTCACCATGTTAGCCTACATGGACTTCATTTGCCCCTAGATACAATGCTTCACCTGGTTTAAGCTTCACATAGTTAAAGGGGAAAGCTAATAAATTGGATTTTCCTCACATTAATCAGAGAGCACAATTACAAACTAGAAGCACAAAGTTAAAAGTCAGTGAATAACATGAAAAAAAGATTGAGAGGACTTACCACTCCATCCTAAAATCCTGTCTTCTCTAAACGAGTCAATATATCAACAGGATCAACAAGTTCATACTCATTAATTTCCTGAGGAGCTGATAAACAACACGGATATCAGGTCCAAGCATTCAATGGAAAAAAATTAATACATACTTCTAAAAAAAAAAATTAAAACAAGCATTCAATGCCGAAATTTAGTACTATTTCTTTCAACTTCGTTTCATCCATCCAATACTTTAAAAAACAAAACAGACCAATTCTAATAACTTCACAGGTTGGATCACATACTATCTGTAACACATTCTTCAGAAGGGCCAGAGCCCACAACTTCAGACATAGCTACTTGCTCTGGCTCCTTGTCTTGCTTAGATCTGGGGGTAAAAAAACCAAAAGATAAATTAATATAGAGAATAAGCACTTAGTTTGTGGTAATGTCCTTTAGCTTTAGCCAGTAAAAGAATTAATATCAGAGATGCGTTCTGTGTAGCATTACAAGAATTGAAGACATGCAAAAATTCAAGCCCAAGCAAATCAACAAGAAATGAGCCCATTCCAGTTTTGAACCAATTCAAAATGAGGATTGATCCAAACCAATAATAATAATAACACAAAAACAATAAGAACAATTATATGAACCTGCAGTCACATAAATCTAGTCCATGTGAGCAACTACAGAGACAATTTGTAGAAAACAGATATGATGCAACAATATGATTAGCTAAACATATGAGCAAAAAGGAAAAAACAGTATCAATGACCATAGATGAGAAAAGTGGCCATACAAGAAAATTAACAAATTGTCAGAAAGAAAAGAAAATATATTTTCCAAATGGAAATGACTGAAGACATCACCAAAAACAACACAAGCTCAAATCCTAATGAAAACTACTCTATGAAATGCCAACAAATTAGCCAGTAAATTGAGAAAACAAATCAATATTCAGGAATTCTTTTGATAAAAAAGATGCCTGGATTCTCATGGGATGTTAAAGAACCGACTCATCCATGGCCATTTCCACAGGCTTGGGATTCGTCCAAAAGGTATATTATATTATATATATATATATCAAACCTTCTTTGTATAAACATAGATTTGTAACCATTAATTTCATTTTCATGAAGGTTCGATTAGGCTCTGTTGCAGTATTTGAAACAGTTGATGAACCAGAGTCTCAATGTTGACACCCAAACAAACCCAACACTCAAATAGATCCAACAACCCATAACATTAATCCATCGATCAAAATTCTACAAACCCATAATCGAAATTGCAATTAAAAACACCAAATAATCGAACAAATATGGAGTGAATGTGTGTGTGTGTGTGTGTGTGAGAGAGAGAGAGAGAGAAGGGTAGAATCCGAACATACCTCAAGAATTGAACTGATACTTTTTCTGATCGAAGAGAAGAGAACGAAACCCTTCCATCATCGCCGCCGCCCAAGCAGTCTCACCGCCGAAGAGAGAGCACTGTTTCCAGGTTGAAATCTAGCCGCTGCCGAAGAATGAAAATCGTGGAGAGTGACGAGGGGTTTACCTGTCCTGGAAAAAAGGAGGGAATTTTGATAGGAACCGCCTCAATTTTTAGAGGCAGATCACCAAAATAATAATAATAATAATAATAAAAACAATTTTTAGTTTTTTTTTTTTTTTTGAAAAAATTAAAACTAAATTTGAGAATTATAAAAATAAAAAATATATTTTTAAAATTTTAAAAATTATTTATGATCTCTTAAAAGGTAAAATTATAGTTTTTTTTTTATTTTGTCATCAAATTTTTTTATTTTAAAGTTTTTTAGGAAAAAAAATTTGAAACAAGGTTCTGAAAATAAAACCAAGCATATTGAAATTGATAATCTAATCACATTCTTTGAAAAAGTTTAGATTATTTCAAATTAGTCATCTCAACTTAAGAGTGTGTTTGGGCTTAATGGGTTCATTTTGTGATCTAATTCGATGATCAATTTAATTTTACAATTTAATAACTAAAATATTTAAAACGTTTTAAAAAGTTATAATAAAAACACAATTCACCAAATCACCCCATTTCAGCAAAATTTTTACCGACGAATAGTGTTATCGTCGCTAAATGTTTAACTCTTTGCCTACACCAACTTGTCGTCACCAAAAGTAAGTACACTAATAGCAACGCTTATTGTGTTGCTAAAAAATAAGGCTCGTAGCTAAAATTTTTGAAAATTTGGCGCCAACTAATAATTTTGGTGCCTAGTGAATGTTATGCATTTTTAGCGACGGTAGTAAATTGCGTTGGTAAAGGTCTATTTTTACCAACGAAATTGATCATTGCGTCGCCAAAAATATAGTTTTGGCTATGAAAAATTGACGTCATCGCCAAAAGTGCAATTTCTTGTACTGACATTATATATATATATTAAATCATATAAATAATATTTTTTATTTAAATCATATAAATAATATTAAAAAATTTAACGAGTCGAGCCGAGCTCGAACCTAGTTCCTTATCGAGCCGAGTTCGGACTCAATAAACGAGCTCAATAAGTAAACGAGCCGAGCTCGAGCTCAGTAAAGCTCGGCTTGACTCGGTTCGTTTGCAACCTTACTTGCAAGAGTCCTATTTAAAGTCAGAACAAACATTTGTATATGAACTGCTAATTTCGGGGTCAACCTCGTCACCCACTTGCAGGGGTCCTATTTAAGATCAGAACAAACACTTGTATTTGGACTGATCCTAAGAAACTTATTGGGACTAGTGAGTATTAAACTTGAAACTTGAAAAGAGCACACCTCCATGTTCTATGTTGTACTCGCTAGACCAACTCTTTATTGTTGAGTTCGATAACTTTTTCATTAACCTATCATATTTTTAATTCGCCCCTTAATATAGTGTGGTGTCGTTTTTGAATTATTAGTTGAGTTAGTTATTTTATAGTTTTAAATTTTAAAGTATCATAATTTTCATTACGTAAATTTGTTTTAACAAAAATTATATATTAAGAATGTGCTCAATCTATCAAATAATATTTATATTGGTCATAAAATGATGTAATAAACAGATATTTGTGTTCACTCACAATTTTAGTTTGAAATTTTGTCAAATTTCACAGTTTCATAATTTTTGTTTGAAATTTTGTGAAATTCACATTTTCACAAATTTTGCATGTAAAATTTCAATATATATATTTTTAATTTGGGAAAAAATTTTGTAAAATTTCACTTTTTTTTTTAATTTGAGAAAAAAAAATTGTAAAATTTCAAATTGATCAGAGATCGTCTCAAATAGATTTCAAAAATAAATATTTTATGAAAACAACCGCATAAAATGAAAGTTACGAGATTTCAATTAAAAAAAAAAAGAAGAAGAAGAACACGGGCATAATTCGTGTTTTAACGAATGGGTTATTACCAGAAAGGACTATGTATGAGACTTAATGAATTAATGAATTTTTTATGGACTTATGTGCTCTGTTTTTTCTAATATTTGGTATTGTGAAAACAAAAATCAAGAAAAACTGTTTTGCAATTAATAAAAAATGAGTTGATTTGAGTGAATTTCATCTTTCAAAACAATCTATACTTTCACTTTTATTATCAAAATAAGTTTTCATTAGGACAAATTACACCAATAGTCCTTTCATTTTAGGGAGCTTTTTTGATAAATCCATTTTCTAAGAGCTTTATTCCATCCAACC